CTTGTGTGCCGTACGCTGCGGTGATGTATGCGGATGGTGAAAGGGGCAGGCAGCTCATATTCTGACGACGGCACGTGGAACAGGCCTTCAACCTGCCGGCCTACATCCCGGTGGAGGAGCAGATCGCGCCGCACCCGGACTTCCCCACGGTGGCCTTCCCCAACCCGGAAGAGGGCAAGGGCGCTCTCAAGCTCGCCATCCAGCGGGCCGACTCGGCCGGCTCGCCTCTCATCCTCGCCAACGACCCCGATGCCGATCGCCTGGCCGTTGCGGAGAAGCTGGACGAGTACGCTTTTCCTTTTCTTTTCCTTCTTTTCTCGCGTCTGTGCTCTGGTCAGAGTGGCTGACGTTTATGATGGTTGTAGTGGAAGCTGGAAGGTGTTCACCGGCAACGAGATCGGTATACTGCTCGCGCACTGGGTGTGGCAGAAGTTCTCCGCGGCTCATCCCGAGGTGCCGGTCGACAAGTGTGTTATGCTCAACACCACCGTCTCCTCCAAGATGCTTTCCGCCATGGCCGCCAAAGAGGGGTTTCATTATGACGTACATATTTCTCCATGTCGTGCGTGGTGCTGCGTGCATCGTGAGGAGATTCTGATGATCGAGACGTGTGGCACGAATCAATTGATGCAGGAAACATTGACGGGCTTCAAATGGCTGGGCAGTGTGGCCGCGGACCTCACGTCCAAGGGCTATCACTTCCTCTACGCCTTTGAAGAGGCCATCGGTTTCATGGTCGGTGACGTGTGCCGCGACAAGGTGCGGTTTCTTTGATCTCTCCTGACCCCTGTGCCACCTTGATCTCTTGGCTTATGTTATGATCGCAGGACGGTGTGCGTGCTGCAGCGGTCTTTGCCGAAATGGCCGTCGAACTGTACTCTCAGCGCAGCACGGTCGTCCGTACTCTCCACTCGCTCTACGAGGTACGGTGAACCCTAACGCACCCTGCGTATCTTTTCCACTCAGTGACAGCTCGCGCGTAGAGCCGGGCCTAACTTCTTGATACTGTGAACACGGACACAGAAATACGGTTACTACGCCACCAACAACCGCTACTTTTTCTGCTACGACCCGGCATTGATGGAAACCATCTTCGGGCGCATTCGCAACAATGGCCAATACAGCGAGGCCTGCGGACCCTACAAGATCAAAAACATTCGAGACCTTACCACCGGTTCGCTACCCCATCTATTGATGACCGAGAGAGGAGAGATATAGATGTAGTGGTGGGGCACACTGCGGGAGTACAACGCTAACGGTTCTGTTGTGCGCCTGTAGGCTACGACAGCTCTCGGCCAGACAAGAAGGCGATTCTGCCCACGTCTTCTTCGACGCACATGATCACCTTTTTCTTTGAGAACGGGTGCGTGGCTACGCTGCGAGGCAGTGGTACTGGTACGGTCGCTCCCCTTCCCCTCTTTACCCCTGAGGTCTCCCGCTCATTTCTCAACCTCCTCTCTCTATTCTCTCCTGCAGAGCCAAAGCTCAAGTATTACATCGAGCACCACGGTCCTTATGGGTATGTTTCTTTGCACCTGGGTGATGCGTCACGCAAGTGAGGGGACCTTTTTGTCTGAACTTTGCTTTTCACACACACAGAGACAGCGCGGGCATCGACAGGGAGCTTGCGGACATTTCGCACCACATCATCGAGCAGTTCCTGGCCCCGACCAAGAACGGCCTGGCTGCCCC